TCGTCTCTCTCTCTCTCTCTCTCTCTCTCTCTCTCTCTCTCTCTGCATGGTAAGTAACGTAATCTCGGATTAATGTCTAAGAGAATGTGCTTAAGATTCATCTTGATAGGGAAATCTTCTCGGCTAATGATAGGTTAACACATAGCCGTAGTTGGTAAGAAGATGATAAGACCCGCGTTATGGTCTGACTATGTGGACGTCAGTCCAAAACAAACGAAATATATTATGGGTTATTCTTTTGTACAAAGTTATCATTTGGACAGGTAAAAGATCGGACAGGTTAGTCTTCGTATAGGTCATTCATGAAGTACGTGAGTAGATTTACCTCTCGAGAGAGTTTTAGAGGTACGTTGATGACCATCTTATCCTTCGTGCACATATAGATCTGAACCATGTTGGGCTAATATAGGCATCATCGAATTATCCCATAATATTTTGTTACTAGAATGAGGACTCGTATCATATAAACCTTATCAGCCCGCCAACCCACTCAACAAGCGCTTAAGCGATGACACTCTACCCCTGACCCACAGCACATTTCATGCACGGGGGATAGCAGTTGATGTTCCCAAATCCCAACATAGACTTCGATATAGTATTGGCATTTATTCAATGATCCAAGCCTATATCATTTAGTGAGGACCCAACTCATATGCTTGTCAAAGTTAAAGTCTTCTTGAACCTAACTTAATAAGTGCAGTTGTTAATAGGGATGATATCGCCCTAATCCTATCACTCAACAAGTGGCTCCAGCACCTCCGTAGCCTACGATACTACCAACGCCCATCATGATCCTCTGACCCAACGTGATGTTAATCTTATAGGAGCGACCAGAGCACCCAATAGATAGGGGCGCTTCGATCCCAAACCATGGAGTTTAGCAAACCTCACCACTCACAGTCCACCTTATTGAAGTCTGAGGCACAATCGACTACTTTCACATAAGAGAATCTTTAGGTGCAACAAATGGACTAATGCTTGGAAGATATGCACTAAGAGTTTCACTTGACCAATGGTGAGGATTTGGCCAACCTCATCTTGAGTCAATCCTCATTCACTCAGAAGATCCAAAAAGAGCCTAGCTTCATTAGCTTTCGACTATCAAGCTTGAAGGCATTTGGCAATGGTACAAACCCAATCGAGCACATCGTGAACTTCCGTGCTTAGATGTTTTTATACGGTATGTCAAACACCTTGATGTGTCAAACCTTTTCTATAATATTGTGAGGTTCGACTGTATACTCATCGGAAGTCACTTTCGGTTCCTTTGGTAGTTGGCCCGATGTGCCCCTCTCAGGATAAGCATATCATTGGCACCTGACGTTCCCCTTAGGATGAGCGTCCAAGAAATATTTGATGCACCCATCTCGGATTGAGCGTCCAAGAAATGCTTAATGCGCCCCTTTTGGTGTGATAATCTCGATGACATCTAGTGTACTTCCTTAGGATGAGTATCTAAGAAATGTCTGATACATCCCTCTCGAGGTGAGCATCCCAACGACACTCGACATGCTTCTCTTGAGTGAGCATTCAAAAAATGTTCGATACACCTCTCGTGAGGTGAGCATCTCAATGACAGTGTGTGCACCTTAGGATGAGCATATAAGAAATACTCGATGGACTACTCTCAGGGTGAGCATCTCAACAGCACATAACATGCTCACCTTAGGGTGAGGATCCAAGCAATGTCCAATGTTACCCTCTCGGGGTGAGTATCCAATAATTACCTAAGGCACAACTTGTGAGACGACCCCCTTAGCAAGGGCGCGAGACATCCATCTTGACGAGCGTCTTAGGCGATCAGATGGGATAGCTCCTAACTTTCTCAACGAGTGCCCAAGATGACATCGTTAAGTAATCTATTAGTATTTGATCCAAGATTTATTAATATTCCATCAAGGTAAAATGTAAGGTATATAAATTTTGATAAAAGTAGTAAATATTCATAATAATAAATATGATAGTTATCATAGTTATTTAACAAAAAGGTATCGATAGTCTTCCGAGATAAATCTAAGTATATTTTAGTCCCTATAAATACTGTCCTAAAAGAATCCCAACTCATACATTCAATCTCTTTAATTTATTTCATCTGAATTCTTTCTAAATATTATTATTTAATTTATTATTTCAAACACTTATTATTTTTCTCAATCAAAATCCTTAAACCCTACATTTTACCCTACCGGTTCGTGCTGCTTTGACCATCGTGCTGAAATGGATCGAATAGTAACAACGATGGAGTCTGAGGGACATTAGACCACGCTTGGGCTCAACGCGAATGGGTCCGACCCAAACACATCAAAGCCCAATAGGCTTCTAATTGGTTGCTCACTCAAATCGTTGGACGCGCCCGCACGATCCAAACGGAGCCCGAAGATGCTTCCGGACTTCACCTCGCCTCCCATTCGCCGTTGCGGTACTCCGCGGGAACAGCGTCGAGGCATATCACCCGTCACGCCTTACCGGGCTTTCGGTGGGACCCGATGCTGGGCCACCATCCCCTCCAATGACGAGGTGGGTAGAGACGGAAAAGTTGCCTTGGAATCGGTGCGTCGGGAAGGTGTCGTGAGCTCGAAACGGCGAAGCGGCGCTAAAACGCATCCAGCGGAGCACCATAACCGGCACGGTAGGTTTAAGCAACGCAGAGGCCCTCGGCGACGTCTCCTTCTCTCTCTCTCTCTCTCTCTTTCTCGGTTTGTGCCGCTATAATCTTCCGTGTTGTTCGCCGTCTCTTGGAATCTGGTTTGCGAAACGATCAGGAGACGCGATCGACGAGGGAGGGGAAACCGTAGTGGAGGCAGGGACACCGATGGAGGCGGTGCCGGGGGCGTCGGCGGACGAGATGGCGCCGGGGACGTCGTCGGCGGCCGGATCAGAGGAGGCGAAGGTGAATGGGGAAGGGGATGACGAGGCGCTGGTCGCCAGGGCGCAGAAGCTGATCGGCAAGATCGTCGACACCCAGGAGAACCCTAACCCTAGGCTCCTCCACGCCCTCGCGTCGATCCTCGAGGCTCAGGAATCAAGGTTTGTGCCATATTTCGTTATCTTCTATCTTGTAATTGGAGATCCTAGGGTTTCGGTTCATGGGGTGGGTCCGGGCTCGGAACATCTCGGGCGTTGGGTTGAATAGTTAGGAGGGAAATGGTGGGATTTAACCACATTTTTACATGGCTTTTTCCCCATCTTTTTACATCCAATCCTCTCCAGAAATTGCTATTCGTACTTTTTTTTTGTTGCACAAGAGTGAGTTTTTGGGTGGGTCCTTTTTTTTTTGGCCCATCGCTTGGTACAGAGCTTTGAAGCTACGTTTAGGACATCGAATTTGAGCTTTCGAGACTATGATATGTGCCTTTTCTTTCATTTGTATCTTGAATTCCGTCAATGCAATTGCATCCACGCTGAAGCGAGATCTGTAATTGCCTACGTTCGCATTTAATTGATACGTGTAATTAGCAACTCATGCATCTTAATTATGTGAAGACAAAATTCAATATATTTAGTTGTGGTCAAGATAACAATAGAAGAATTCTTCTCTCTTTAATCCTAGCATGTAGATTCCTGTAAGTTTAAGCTGGATTGTTATGGAGGGAGACATTCCAGGCCATCAAATTAAATATCTGCTATTGTGAATTAAAGAGCGTAGAATTTAGAACTTGTGCTGCAGTGTGTCTACATGAAAATTCCCCTTGCTCACTAGAAAGTGAAGGCACTAAATAGTAATGTAACTGAGTTCTGTTTTAATGAGGTGTTTGCATTGACTTGTAATTTAGAAAGTGAAGGCACCAAATAGTAATGTAACTGAGTTCTTTTTTATGGAGGTGTTTGGATTGACTCGTAATTTAGAAAGTGAAGGCACTAAATAGTAATGTAACTGAGTTTTGTTTTGAAGAGGTGTTTGTATTGACTTGTAATTTATAGTATAGCTCTTTTGAAGCAATTAGCTGGAAGTTTGCCATGACTACTGCTGTTCAAAAAGTTTCTACCAGCCACAGCAGCAAGAGATCTGTAAGATTTCCTGCACGGTATGATGTTTGCTAGTAACATTCTAGCATGTGTCTACATGTGTCAGGTATGATGTTCCTCGATGTTTACTAGTAAAATTCTAGCTGTAAGACTTCCACACTAGCTTCAAATTGTGTCAGACATGTGTCAGTTGACACAGTAATAATTGGTCTTGTTAAGTCATTTATTATGATATCATTGATATCGTTTCATTCTTTACTCTCTCCATGGCAACATTTCGAGCGGATCATAATTTATTAATTCTGAATTATTTTGATATATCTTCTATACTATTATAAACTTTTATCTGTCACATGAGCCAAAGAAAAGTATTTGTCACTAGTTAATCTTTGGACCAACAATACAACAGCAACAACAAAGTTGTAATGTTGTGACTAGTTGGGGTTCGCTAGTCACTACATGGATCTTTTGCTATTCTGTAAAAGGCCGTATCCTTAGTTAATTTTTTTTTATTTGAATATTTGTTTATAGTTTTTAGTGATGTCTCTTTAGGCCTTTCTCTACCTCTTCTCTTACCGCTTATAATAATTATTTCATTCTAACTAGAACATATATAGATCTCCTTAACAAATGTTCATACAATCTTAAATAGTTTTTCTTCATTGGATCCTATATCGAAGCTACACTTAATTGGTTGCGAGTGAAAATAATTTTTTTCTTTTCTTATAATTTCACATGTCAACCTCAATATTCTATCTTAGCAGCACAAACTTTATGAATATGTTATTCAAGTGTCCAACACTCAAATCCATAAAGCATATTTGTACATATCTATACATGCTACAATTGTGTCTTGTTGCTCTTTCTGAATTGACCAAAATGGGGATGACATGTTACATTTTACATAATCTGGTTCATTGTCCTGTTGTTTTGTTTGCTCTTTCTTTTAGTTTGTCTATTGTAATTAGTCGGTTCGTGTAGTTCATTTTGCAGAGAGAATTATGTAAATTGGTGCATATAGGTTGATGTCTTGCTTGTTTAAGATTCTTACTATAGTGCAAAACTTTCATGTTATTTCTCTTGTTGCCTCATTTTGGTTCCGTTTCTTCAATATTCTTCAGATACCTGCAGGAATCTGTGAGTTCACCTTTTAACAATGTCCGGGCTTCTCATACTATTGGAAGGTTAGCTAACCTAGTGCAGGTACGCTGTAGTCTTCTACTTAGAGTTGGATTTAAATCCTAAGATTTTACATTCACATGGTTGATTATATTATGCGTTTTTTCCCCAGGAAAATGATGAATTTTATGAGGCAATTTCATCAAAATTTTTATCAGAAAGCAGATACTCAACTGGTGTTCGTGCAGCTGCTGCAAGACTGATTCTTAGCTGTTCCTCAAGTTGGATGGTAAGCTAAATTCCATTATGATAGTTATGCTACTTTTAGTATCTGTGTTGATTCTGCTGACTTCTATTGTCCTGTGGTATTTTGCCTGTGAAAATTCTCAAGTATCCGCATGTTTTTGACGATGATGTGCTGGACAACATCAAAACCTGGTTAATGGAGGAAAATATAGATTCAAATGATGATTGTATATGGAAACATGTATTTGGTGAGGATAAGCCAACAGAATCAGAAATGTTGACAACTTATGCTACAGGACTTCTTGCTTTAGCATTGGCTAGGTATTAAAATTTTCTTTAGCCTGTTCAGCATGTTCTTTTTGCTCTTCTATTGCATAATGTTTTACAAGGTTTTCGATGATTGTATCAGTCCTGGTCCAGTTGTTGAAGACATCTTGACATCAGGCTTATCTGCAAAGCTCATGCGTTATCTGCGTACACGGATCCTTGGGGATGCCAATGTTGGCCAGAAAAATTGCACGTACCCGGCAGAGGTCAAGCATGCTTCAGTTGCTAGCTATCTCAGGGGTCGGGATGAAAACAAATTAAGATCACGCGAGGTTTCAGATGCTCCTCGTTTGGAAGGTTTAAAGGCTGGAGATGAAGGGTCATCAGACGATTCATGTGTTCATCGGGATTGTGATAGAGTAACTAGGCAAGTTTGTTCAGATGAGTATTGGGGGGACTCATTGAAACCTGAGATAACTGATTCATCTACGGCAGTTGATGGTGCATATGAGATGGTCGAGGGAAATGCTGATCTTGCTAGTAATGAATGGCAAGATAGGAATTTGCTTGATGGGAAGTTGAGATATGGTGAAAGACTTCTTGCTGCAAGATCGACTCGTGATGAGGATCCTGATGAAAATATGAGGGATGACTCGTCGAGGCGAAGGGTTATCAGGGGATTACAGAGAAGTAGAACCAAAGGAAGGATCAGTGAAGGAAACTCGGACAGTGACAGGGTTTTGACATCCCCTAGTTCTGGATTAAGACTTGGAGGAAGTGGTAGGGTATCCAGGGACAGAAACTTACTAAAGAATGAAGACACTAGAAAAGTGACTGACACTACGAACAACTCAGTCAAGCTTGATCAGGAAGGTTTGGTCATTGGAGAGGATAATGATGACCGTTTATTGGATTGTTATATTGGCTCAAGAGATATATCTGAAATGGTAAAGAAAGCAATAGGAGCTGCTGAAGCTGAAGCAAGAGCTGCTGATGCACCTGCAGAAGCAATTAAAGCGGCTGGAGATGCGGCAGCTGAACTTGTGAAGACTGCTGCTTTAGAGGTAACTACTGGAATACAAAGCTCATATGATCATTATTTTGCTTTTCTTTTAACTGTTCTAGTGTCCTGATCTTTTAAATGTTTTATTTTATAGGCCTGGAATAATACAAAGATTGAAGAAGAGGTCATTTTAGCTGCTTCTAAAGCTGCAAGTTCTGTTGTTGATGCTGCTATTGCAACAGAGATTTCTCGGTAACTTGACTGCGACCATCCACCAAATGGAAGGGTCTTTCTAATTTTTGTTATGCATTTGTTTGTTAGCTAATATTGGAATTTTTGCTGGTCTAGGACTGCGAATGAAGTCAATGAAAATTTGACGGAAACCAAGGCTATGGAAGTTGAAGGGGATGAAATGCCAGAAGACTTCAGCATTTTGGATAAAGAGCCTCTTGCAAGGCTCAGAGAAAAATACTGCATTCAGTGTCTTCAAATTTTGGGAGAATACGTTGAAGCTTTTGGACCAATTCTGCACGAAAAAGGTGTTGATGTCTGCCTTGCATTGTTGCAACAGAGTTTCAAGGAAGAAGTACTTGATAATCTGTCATTGCTGCCAGAAGTGCTCAAACTGATATGTGCCCTAGCTGCTCATCGTAAGTTTGCCGCTGTATTTGTTGATCGTGGTGGCATACAGAAACTTCTTTCTGTTCGTAGGGTCCCACAAACCTTCTTTGGTCTTTCGTCATGCTTATTCACGATTGGTTCTCTTCAGGTAATAACACAGCATGTAAATTTGCCAAGGTTTTTGGCCTTTTTTTTTTTTGTTACTGTTCATATTTCAATGTACCATCTGCACTTGCTTAATAAATTCTCGTGGGCAACATGTCTGCAGGGTATTATGGAACGTGTGTGTGCGCTTCCATCTGATGTGGTGAGTAAGGTGATTGAGCTGGCACTTCAGCTTCTTGTGTGCCCCCAAGACCAAGCTCGGAAAAATGCTGCTATCTTTTTTGCTGCTGCTTTTGTGTTCAGAGCAGTTCTGGACTCGTTTGATGCACATGATGGCCTACAGAAAATGTTAAATCTCTTGCATGGTGCTGCATCAGTTAGATCAGGTGGAAATTCTGGAACATTAGGCATGCCTGATGCAGCTCTTAGAAATGATCGATCAGAAATACTGACTGCATCTGAAAAGCAGATCGCTTATCATACTTGTGTTGCATTACGCCAGTATTTCAGGGCCCATCTCCTTTTGCTTGTAGAATCTCTTCGTCCAAATAAAAGTAGTCGAACTGTAGCACGTAATACTTCAAGTGCAAGAGCTGCATATAAACCGCTCGATATCAGCAATGAGTCTATGGATGCAGTGTTCCTTCAGATACAGCGTGATAGGAAGATAGGACCTGCATTTGTTAGAGTTCGTTGGTCTCCAGTTGATAGGTTTTTGGCCTCTAATGGTCATATAACAATGTTGGAGCTGTGTCAGGTAGAAGCAATTCTTGCCTGTTGTTTATTTTGTGGGGCGAGTTTTTAGATATTTAGTTATTTTGCTCTAATAGTGGAAACTTCTCTATTTGTGCAGGCTCCTCCTGTTGAGCGGTATCTGCATGATTTGGCGCAATATGCATTAGGTGTCCTCCATATAGTCACTTTCATACCCCATAGTCGTAAATTGATTATAAATGCTACTTTAAGCAATAATCGCGTCGGCATGGCAGTTATTTTAGATGCAGCTAATGGTGCTGGATTTGTTGATCCTGAGGTATGGTTGAACTTAGTAAGATTTCAATTCCAGTAATGGCTTTTCTCCTAGTTATAATGCATACTTTTTTTTTTAGGTTATTTATTTCTATGTTTCTTTGCGTACTTGTGTGTCAGGTAATCCACCCAGCGTTAAATGTTTTAGTAAATCTTGTATGTCCGCCTCCTTCTATCAGCAACAAATCCTCTTTATCTGCACAAGGTCAGCAACCTGCTTCGGTCCAATCATCAAGTGGTCACTCAGAAAGCAGAGAAAGGTTCTCTGAAAGGCATATTTCTGATCGTATTCCATTTCCCACTCAAAATGAGTCTAGGGAGATCAATAGTGAACCTAATTTGGAGAGGAGTAACACAACAGTTCCTTTGACTCCATCAGGAGTGGTTGGAGATCGCAGAATATCTTTAGGACCTGGATTTGGGTGTGCTGGTCTTGCGGCTCAGTTGGAGCAAGGATATCATCAGGCAAGAGAGGCTGTTCGTGCCAACAATGGTATAAAAGTTCTATTGCATCTTCTTCACCCTCGGATGATTACACCTCCTGCAGCCCTGGACTGCATTCGAGCTCTAGCATGTCGTGTTTTGCTTGGTCTGGCTAGAGATGAAACCATAGCACATATACTTACAAAACTTCAGGTGTGCAGATATTGACTTTGCATATTTTGCATTACTGGTAATATAAGAGCTGTTTAAATGCTTATAATGCCAAAATTGCATTGGATGCCTTTCTGAAGCATCTAATGCTGCAGAACTTGAAGTTATGCCCCTTTGGAAGGGTAGCTTTTTAGGATAGACACTTGTTTAAGGTGTATATGAAAAGGGAGATTTTCTTAGCATGTGCACCTGTTTTATTTGTATATGCAGATACACTCTTTAAGAGGTGTATATGCAGTAATCTAATATATTTACTCGGCTATTGGGAATGTAATCCTTAATGCAACTACCAAGCTACTTATGGTCCAATTTCTTGTTTAATCTGTGATCAGTGTCTTTTTTCCCTAGATTGATTGCAATTTTCAGAATTTACAAGATAGTTACCCAACCTAAACCTCTCTCTGAATTTGTATTCAGGTGGGTAAGAAGCTGTCAGAACTTATTCGAGATTCAGGTTGCCAGGCAGGCGGAACAGAACAAGGACGCTGGCAAGCTGAACTAGTACAAGTTGCCATCGAGTTGATTGCAGTAAGTAACGTTGAGCAAACCTTGTTATTTCTGCATGTAGTATGAATGTTGTTCGGTTCTGATGGTAACATGCTACTACTATGCTAGCTTTCTTAGATCGAGATGGTTGTGTTGGCTTCTATGCATGTGGATAGTATTTGTTAAGTTTTTTTTTTTTCTGACCCACTGGTCCTTCATTGAACTGTTACAGTTTCTGTAACGTGATCAGTTTGTTTTGTAGATTGTAACAAATTCTGGCCGTGCAAGCACCTTGGCAGCCACTGATGCTGCAGCTCCTACATTGAGACGTATTGAGAGAGCTGCAATAGCTGCAGCAACTCGTATTACTTATCATTCCAGGTTTTTTTTGTTTGCTCTGCACATACCAAGTTTTTTCACAAATTTTGAAGTTTAATGCTATCTTCTTATGTGGTTTCACATGCACTTACCACTCAGGGAGCTGTTGTTATTAATTCATGAACATCTTCAGAGATCTGGCTTGACGGCTACAGCTGCCTTGCTACAAAAAGAGGCTGACTTGACACCTTTGCCATCTTTAGGAGTACCATCTCCTCCCTTACACCAAACTTCAGTGCAAGATACTTCATCTGTGCAACTCCAGTGGCCATCAGGCCGTGCTTCTTGTGGGTTTAGTTCAGATATGAAGATGTCTCCGCGAGATGAAGACACTGGTCTAAAGCCTGAATCAACTGTGATGACTTCCAAAAAGAAAACACTGACCTTCTCTTCAAGTTTCTCACAGGGGAAAAGTCATCTTCCATCACATTCTTCTTCTGTTGTTAAATCTTCTGTTGTAAATGGTCATACAGCTCACGAGGGCTTGGAAACAACTCCTCCATCTGCTTGCAAGTCTAATGCAGATATTGAGCCGCCATCGAAAACACCAAATTTATTACCTGTGAAAAGGAAGTTAAATGAATTGAAGGATCTCTTTTCTGCAACACCAGCAAAGCGCCTTCTGATGTCAGACCTTGCTTCACATTCTGCAACCAATCAGATGTCAACTTCTGGACAGAGAAATCATCTTTCAAATCCAAATTGTCTATCTCCTCATGCCAACACCACACCACGGGATCGTTTCAGCAGAGGAGCATGCGGCAGCTTGTCTGGGAATAATATAGATGATATCCGCCACCCTAACAGTTATGGAGCGTCGACAGCACCTGTAGCCCAATCTGGTCTGCCAGCTGACCAACAGCCAGGAAATACCGAGAGGATGACTCTTGATTCATTAGTTGTGCAATATTTGAAGAATCAACATCGTCAGTGTCCAGCACCTATTACCACCTTGCCACCACTTTCTCTTTTGCATCCACACGTGTGCCCAGAACCTAGCCGGAGCCTGAATGCACCTGCAAATGTAACTGCACGGGTCAGTACCAGGGAGTTCATGAAACAGTATGGAGGAATCCATGCCCATCGTAGAGATCGTCAATTTGTATATAGTCGGTTCAGGCCATTTCGTACCTGCCGAGATGATGCTGCTTTATTGACATGCATTACTTATCTCGGGGATTCTTCTCATATTGCAACTGGAAGTCATTCTGGTGAGCTAAAAATATTTGATTCAAACAGTGGAAATGTTTTAGAGAGTCAGACATGCCACCAGACTCCTGTTACACTGGTTCAATCAGCCTCTTGCGGTGGAAATCAATTTGTTCTTTCTTCGGGTTTGTATGATGTTAAGTTATGGGATGCTTCCTCCATTTCAACCGGGCCCTTGCATTCATTTGAAGGATGTAAGGCTGCCCGTTTTAGCCATTCAGGGACCAACTTTGCTGCCTTGTCATCAGACACTTCTCGTCGTGAGGTTCTCCTTTATGATGTCCAAACGTACAATGTAGAGCTTAGACTTCCTGACAGCTCAAGTAACCATCCAGGCATTGTTCGAGGACATGCACAATCCCTGATACACTTTAGTCCATTGGACACACTGCTATTATGGAACGGAATCCTGTGGGATAGGAGGAGTTCAAGTGCTGTTCATCGTTTCGATCAATTCACAGATTATGGCGGTGGTGGGTTTCATCCTGCTGGAAATGAGGTAGAAACTGCACTTCTAACCTTTTATTTTGCATATTATTTATCACTATTTATTTTATGTTGGTGTGTACTTCTGGATCTATATTGTGTCATCTTGGTCAATTTTAGTGCGCTCACAATTTCATAAATAACATAAAACAATTTGGCATAACAAATTATGGAGCTTCAAAAGAAAATTATAGTTGTTTCTGGAAGTTCTCCGTTGACATTTTCTCCGAAGCCTAGTAAAATATTTACGGTGATCATGTACTTTTTTAGTCCACGTCATTTATGGATCTTGTCATGCAGTTCTTCCAAATCTCTTATGCTGCTCTAATTAGACTTAAGACCGGACATTGAAGAAAATTGTAACAAGAAGTGTGATTTATATTGCTTTTCATATTGCGCATCCTCTAATTTTTTAGGATTTGATTAGGATGTTATAAATGTATATGCATAGACTTGATCCATAAAATAGGAACCGACAAAAGAATCTCCTTTTCTTTCCCTTGTGAAATCAAAATTTTAAGGTGGAAGTTAATGAGAAAAACAAAGGAAATTCTAAACAATTTCCCTAGGATTCATATTTTTTTTCCTTGGTGGGATAGTTAATTAATATATACATGGTTTGAATCAGGAAACCGTTCTTTTGGGGTAAGTTTGTGATATTGATCCTCCCCAGATTTTAGATTAGCTGAAAGCCTCATGCGATGTAGCATCCTCTTTTATGTTTAACAATCTACACAACCTTTGTCTGTGATTTTTATAGATTCATCACAAAGAGGGAGACTTTTGGATGTGCCAAAAAAGGTCAGCCACCAGAGTCCACTAAAACAATTTTGGATCACATCGTTTGAGTTTAAGCTTAAAAGATCTGATACTTTAGGCCTCAAGATGTTGTAGATGGTGGTAGAAGCCCCCAGATGACAGTTAGGGTTTAAACTCATTCTTCTTGGATTGAACAAAGTTTTAAGTAGAGGGTATTGGACAAGAAGGAAATTATTTTTGCATGAAATGCATAGGTTAGTTCTTTGCAAACAAAGAACTTTTCCGGTTTCTTAAAGTATTTAGGTGGATGTGACCCATTAATCATTCAGGGTTGAAAAGAGCAGATAATTCGAGTAGATTTCTGGTAGGCAAAGTTTGTGACAGTCATAGGGCAACATATGGACAGGTGGTAGTCGACAGGACTTCTATGTTTGGATACTCTTAGGAGGTATAGACTTAATCATGGGCTAAATAGGACATTTGTCTTTCCTATCTCGTATAGGGCGCAGAAGCTGACAAGTTATCCATTTTAAGGACTGCATCGACCTCATTCATTCAGGGGAACTTATTTGTCGGAGCGCAGGGATTCTCATAGAATTGCCTGTGTTAGAAGATATTCATCTGTGTGAGAGATTGAAAAAGATGACTGAGAGAATAGTTTCATATTGATAAATATCGAGAGAGTCGGATGATATATTTCCGAGTCTAGCCCACAATCTATTAACTTAAGCCTTTCGATTGAATTGGTGTCTGACTTAATATGTTAATCCTGCTCATTATTGCTAGATTTCTGACAGCCTGAAACTTGTTTTGTAGTGCTCTAATTATCTAGATTAGGGTTCTAACTGAATAAACTTGATTGCAATTCTTTGGCCCATCTATATTATGATTCCTAATGCAATCTGCCTAATAGTTCTTGTAATGCTTTAACCATATAAGACATAATGTTGATAATTATAAATCAGTTGACCGAAAATTGTCTGCGACTATTTAGTTGCCTATTCTCAAGCTGCTTTGTTGTAGTTTTCTGAGCTTATATTGGTGGCATAAGTTTGAAACTCTGTAATTGCTGTTTATATTGCGTCTGCATCACATTCTTTTGGTATACCACCTTGATATTGTATTTGTTAATCTTTTTCATCTGTGCAAGAACTTTATATATTTGAGGTTGAGCATTAGGTGCATCTCTCTCGATCACAATTGGTTTATGCACTTCCACGGCATGCGCCTGCTTCACTTTAAGATCTCTGATCTGCTCTTTCAGGATTCTCTTCAATTTCCATTGTTTTCTTCCCTGTTTAAAGCTCTGACATAAGATGCTAAATGTTTAATTTGCTCTTTATACCTGTTGACATTATGTTTTATTGGGTGTAGATTATAATCAATTCTGAGGTGTGGGATCTTCGCAAGTTCAAGCTTTTGAGGACGGTGCCTTCGCTGGACCAGACGGTAATCACGTTCAATGGTGGTGGGGATGTCATATATGCAATTCTGAGGCGCAACCTTGAGGACGTGATGTCGGCTGTCAACACCCGTCGTGTTCGACATCCGCTATTCCCTGCCTTCCGCACGATTGATGCCGTGAACTATGCCGATATCGCGACGGTTCAGGTTGATCGTTGCGTCCTCGACTTGGCCGTTGATCCCACCGACTCCTTTGTGGGCATCATCGCCATGGATGACCACGATGAGATGTTCTCCTCCGCTAGGCTCTACGAGGTCGGTCGAAAACGGCCAACCGATGATGACTCGGACCCGGACGATGGCGGTGAGACTGATGAGGACGATGAGGAAAACGAGGAGTCCGAGGCGGATGTGGATGCGATCTTGGAGGCAGAGTTGGATGGTGACGGAGACAGCGACTCGGATGACATGAGCAATGATGAGGACGATGAAGATGTAGACAGCGGAGATGAATTGGACGAAGATGGGGACTTCAACCTCGGGGGCGCAGACTTTGAGGGGGGGCGAGGGCTGTTGGAGATCATGGCCGAGGGTGATGAGGAGGGTGACTCTGATGAGGGTGAGCTAGTGGAGTCTTTGAGCAGCGGGGATGAAGGGGATTTTACATTCTAAATCTCTATTGTGCCGTGCCATGCCATCCGATAACGCCGCTTGGCTACGAGGCTATGTAACTATTATTATCATCTAGAATTTTCTTGGAGGAAGGTAGAATTTGCAAGAATCAGCAACTCAAGAAATGTAAACAGCGAGTGCAACGAAAAGGGTCATTACATTTTGTTCTGTCAATCATATTAAAAGAAAAATAAGTGCCTATTAAGTTTTTCTTTTCTTTTCTTCATTACATTTTGGAGTATTCGATGAGATCCCGTTGTTGTACACTTCCTGTTGCTAAACTAATCCAAGCGCATGCCAGAACGCAGATCCAGGAAACGCAGTGGCAGTGCAGGAAAGCAATGCTGATTACCAAACCCAAGTAGGATATAACGATCGATCGAAAAGCAATCAAATACAAGAAAGATTCAACACATCGGAAAGCAGCTAAGATAGATAGATACATTGCTTCACTTATTTATTCTGCCACATAACATTCACCAGCAGCGCACACCAGGGGAGAAGACAGTCAGTCTGGGAACTACATGCCCAAGTTAGTAACAGCGCTGACCCTGGATCCATGGAGGCTCACGGTCTTGCTCGGCACAACCCGAAGAACACCCGGTTGCTCTGCAAGATCGTTTCAATTGGAGGATGATTAGCTTCAGCTTGGAAAGGATAAAAAAACTTGTTAAGATTGTATACTCTTAACATAATCTCAGGTTAAGAAGATCATGCATACGGCACACTCGTCAATCCGAAAACCTTTCACCCAGGAACCACCAAGATATGATAATTCTTTCGTTTTTTATATAATATTGATGCCACCGAGAAGATCTGTCGAGGCGGTATAAACAAATCTTTTTTTTAGGCAACCAAAAGAGATCTTTTCTTAAAGATCTCTTGAGGAAGAAGCAACCGTGACACCAGCAAAAATCCATTCAAACAAATCCTATAATTTATAAGAGCATCACTCAACCTAACCTCAACTTATTGAAAGTCGAACTATCTTACTACAACAGCTTCAAAATAGGGCTCAAGCTGACAAACACAGAGATATTAAACTCCCCTATAGGACATCAAATATGTACCCATCATCGACTTAATGGAAGTCAAACTTTACAGCCATAGAATAGAGCCCAATTGACAGATACAGAGTTAACCCAAGAGATATGGATTATCCTGATTTGATTATAAACTCCAGCTAGAACAATGTGGAGGGAGCAGAAAACTAAGATAACTTCAGCTGAGATCATACAATGTGGCGTCGATAGAAAATAAAAGATAATCATAGACAAAGGTGTTGAAAAATACAAATAAAAAATTAATGCATGACTTAGTCAAAACTGTTGGAAACTTCACCACGCCAATTAGACAATTCAAAGACAATGGACAAGTAGTCATTTCATACAATGTGGTGTTGATAGAAAATAAAAGATAATCATAGACAAAGGTGATGAAAAATACAAATAAAAAATTAATACATGACTTAGTCAAAACTGTTGGAAACTTCACCACGCCAATTAGACAATTCAAAGACATTGGACAAGTAGTCATTTCATATGTAAAGGCAAGTTTGCACGACAAGCATAAGACTTTGTCTCAAGGTCTATTTGTCGATGAATTTTTGGTTTGTTCTAATCCTACGCAATGTGTAGCAAGCAGTTCAAGAAAGAGAGAAAAGAGTGCAGAGATTTCCAGGGTCAAAATCAACATCGTGAACATGTTTTGGTATCCCACACCAAAGGACGTGATGAACACGAAGGCATCAAACGCAAATCAGCTCAACTTGTACAAGGATATTTTTCACACCGACATGTAATCGAAAGGAATTCTCCCCTGATCCGGAAAGAACGGATGATTTGATCGCCAAGTTCACCGATTAGCTTAGAACTAAAACGAAGAGCACAATAAAAATCCAACCTTTATGCTCTTGCAAAGTGTCAGAACTCATCAATATAGCTTAGGACCGAGAACAGAAGGGAAAAGGGAACTCACTCTTGCAAAGTGTCCGATCTGATCGATATAGCTTAGAACTAAGAATAGAAGGGAAAAGGGAACTCACTCGACAGTTCCTCGACCTGCGACCGGGTCAGCTTAGCCGAGAACCCACTCGCCGCATGCTTGTAATGATAAATCAGGGAATCCTTGGCGGCCTCCTCGCTGCAAAATCCAAGAAGTTCAGTCCCAAACCACAACATCCGAAACCCTAAACCTAGAAAACTTGATCTTCGCCGCCAGACCCGAAACCCTACTCCTAGAAAGGCACACGGATCGGGATCGACCTGCCGAGAACAGCAGCCAGGGTTCGGATATGGAAGGCCTCTGGTTCCTCGCCCTCCGGCTTCGCAACGTAGACGATGTTGACGGCCGCCTCCTCCTTCTCCTGCGCCTCCTGGAGCTTCGTGGCCGCCTCCGCCATCGGCGATACGATCGAGACCGTGGAGAACAGAACGAGGACAAGGGAAGCGATGGCGAGGAACGAAATCGACGACCCCGTTGACTCCTTCATTCAATCGATCCCTCTCTCTCTCTCTCTCGCTTCCTCGACAACAAAGAACTCGATATGAGAAGAAGTCTGGGTTTAAAGACGGAATCCGGTCGGAAGCGCAGTACGTGGTTTTTGACTCGGTTCGACCGGGTCGGTTCGAACGGTTCGGATGCGGACTCGTTTATACGCTTACTGATTGGATCCGAATGATGGAAGCGCAGTACGTGGTTTTTGACTCGGGTCGACCGGGTCGGTTCGACCGCGTCGGTTCGAACGGTTCGGATGCGGACTCGTTTATACGCTTACTGATTGGATCCGAATGATTTGATATATATATATATATATATATATACACGTGCGAGAAACTATTTTTGTGGGAATCTATCATCTCCATTACTCTAAAAATATACATATATATTTTTACACTCATAAATCATCTTCCAACAATTACAACAAATGATGGAGTTCCTGAACTCATCTAATTCCGGGCTTTTAGAGCGCACACCATCGATTTCTTGAAACGATGGAGTTGTTGAAGGAAGAAGATGACTTAAGGAAGTGCCGAGGATTGCCTCGGCACACAATCTCTTCGCCGACCTTATCGAGTAGAGTGATCAGATTTGTTCTCTTCGCTTACGTTAGCGATGTGCTGATCGCTCGCGTTTCTATTTCCAAGAAAACAAGCAAAATAAAGTGTTGTTAGTGAAGCTTCGATTCAAGATTATAAATTATCAACAAAAAGAAGAAAAATATATGCCATCAACGTTAATATTAATCATTATTAATTAGAAAAAGAGATTGATTCTATTATTTTCCGATAAAGATTGAAATTTCTTGAATAATTAAGAATATCAATTCCTCGAACCACAAGTGGAATAAGTTTTTCGATGGTATCGATAAAATAAAAATATATATTTCTATATTTATCACTGAATCATTTCGTGAAAAATCTTTCAAATTAATGTGACTTTAAATCCCTATGCATTATTTTAAAAAAATAAAATTTGTATATTAATCGGAAGACTAACAATATCGATATAAAGAAACAAAAAAATTGTTGTGAATCTAAATTAGCTTAAACAATAACGATAAATTTATTGATACAAAAAAGTATACCTTTTTTAGGTTGACGAAGGAATGTAGGGATCGAGCTCTGAGCCTCAATTCGAAAGATGATACTCTATCATTGTTGTCATCGTCATCTTCTCTTTCGGAAGCATTGTTCCCATCGGGATCGGTACTCTCTTCGTTAACTTGCATTTCTATTTTGCTTGAGCAATCCATCCTTCTCGATCATAATTTATAGTATTGCGACACTCGAAAATCACGATTGAGATTTGCTACAAAGTTGAGAATCTTTCATAATAAATATTTTCTTTATAAATCAAGATACGTGGTTCTTTATACGAATTTACTTGCATGAACTTTGTGTCATGACATGGATCGATTAGGCTGTATTCATGCATACCTCAATACACAGCTAATGCTACGTTAGTGCATCTCAATATTATTCTATCTTTCCTTTTATTCTCTTATTTCTTCTCTTTATTATTATTATTTTTTCTTCATCCTTCTCTTTCCTACTTGTTTTCTTATTTTGACACTCAACCCTTTTCCTTCGTACTACTAACACACTTCTCTCTTCATTCCCACACGTTTGTCTCATCTCCCTCTTTCACTTCTGTTAAATTAGAGTTAAAATTTCTTAGAATTATTATAAATTAGAAAAACATATGGATTCACGATAAAAAAATCATAAAATCTAAAATCTAAAATTTTAAGAATTTTATAGACTCGTATAATCTAATTTGACATGTATACTTATTGACTCTATCGATCGGGATAACGATATTTATTTGCTAGTATAACTTTTAAATAGTGATCGCTTGCACATCGCGTCGTGTAACGTACGTAGCAACAAAATCTAAAGAGTGAATACATAGATTTTTTTTATAATTTAAAATATTTTTATGTTTAATTTGACATATTAGTCGATGATTAATGAAGGATGAGTGACAGAGATTATCAAGGAATAAGAATACGATGGTGAAAAGAAAAAGATGAGTATGATAGTGAGAAGCGACAACGAAAGTAGAAAAAAAGCTACGAGAAGTAAAACAATTGATTCATTTGATACTTAGATCGTCTCGAAAACTATACAAACATACTTTTCTTAGAGACGCCCCATGTAATTGCTTAAAAATGGATGCTAATTCATCCCTTTAATCTTATGATATAAATGATTATGAATGAAAATATTATGTAATTATATGAAATGCATGAAAAATTTCCTTTATGGGTGCGCACAAACGTTAGGGGGGTATCGAACCGTGTGGGGGCCATCTATCGGATATCTCTCTTACGTGGCAAGTAACCATTGGTGATCTGTCAACACTCACGCGTGCGTCCCACCAGCAGTGGCGGCGTCCGCAAACAAAACAACGACGTATGCGGGCCCACTTCCCCTACCGACACGCCCGCAATAACAAAAGATTCTTCTTCTACCTGTTACTGTGTTACCTACTTTAGTACCTGTCTCCTTATTGGTCGTTCGCGTCGAGGGCCCACAATCAATGTTCCGGGTTAAGGGTTGACGAGTCTGATGTAAGTTAAGACAGCGACATCGTACAGGAAAACCCTCCGCTCATCTAGCGGGACTCGCATCAGCGGGTTAGAATAAGCAACGGTGGACGCAGACAGTCTCGCGTATGGTGGAGAGCGGGAGGCCTGACTGTCCAATCTCGAATACGAAACAGGTAAATCCCCAAACCCGTTGTCTACAGGTTTCCATCAAAAGAACGAATCATGTATAACCTGGGGGGCCCAAGGTTGACGACACTGTTCGCTGTTTGATTCTAACAGCCAAGCTGCATCTCCAATCAGGGCCGTTTCCTGATTGAATCCCGTCACCTCCCTGTCGCCATCCTCACTCCACCCAGCCAAAACGGAGCTCAGCGGCCGCTCTCTCTCTCCTCTCTCTCTCTCTACAGTGGTAGTAGAATAAGGATAAAAGCGAACGGAGATCTACGCCGATGCTTTTTGGGCAATTTCTTGGTCGAGATCGAGGTCCAGAAGGTCGTCTACAAGCAATCCGAAGCTAACTACGCAAGGAATCAGAGAGACAGAGCCGACGATGCCGAGGAACGACGGCGACTCCAGCTCCGGCTCGGGACCTAACCCTAACCCTAATCCTAACTCCGTCCCAAAACTTAGCAACGGCGGGACGCCGCCCCAGCTCAAGAGGTCGCGGACCATCACTGCAACCGTGGCCTCCGGAGGAGCCGCTGCCGTCCGGCGAGCTGCCACCGGGCCCCTCCCGTCCTCGCGGAGGCTCACGGTCGCCGTCGATAACCCCTCCGACGCCCCGGCAAATGGCGGCGTCTTCGACCGGGACTGGTGCTACCCCTCCTTCCTCGGGCCCTACGCGGCGCGGCCCCGCGCCACCGGCCGGGCGTCCTCCTCCGGGCCAAAAAAGCTGGACGTGCCGCTGCCGCTGCAGAGCTCGGCCGATCGGAGTTCTGCGGCTCTTTCGGACGAGGAGGAGAAGGTAGTGGAGGAGCGGCCTCTGGTTCTTGAAGAAAGAAAGCAGGGCCCATTCCCTTCCACTTCGATATCTCCTCCTAAAAGGAACTCCCGGTTTGACAACAATTCTTTGATTCTTTCACTCGTAAGTTTCTCGTCTCATCGCGCTTTCTTGATTCCCAAGGAATATTCGAGCAAAGATTCAATTTAGCTTCTCGATTCTGATTCCACTTCCTTAAATTCTTGCAGTTCATTGTCGCGTGTGCCCTTTTAGCCATCTCTCAGCAAAAGAGAATTATAGAGCTCGAGGTATTACCCACCGTTTCATTTCGTGTTTTCTCTACTGTTTTATCCGAACTATCGAAATATTACAGAAGGATGTTTGTTCTGCTACGTTCTAATTTCTAGTGCAATTTGTTGAATTCTTTTTTGTTCTTTTGGTTTACTTTGACAGGAAGAGATTAACAACCTAAATAGGTTTTGCAACTTTGATGGTGTTAATGGACATGAAAAAGTTGCGGTTTTGCAGTTCGGCAGAAATAGCCTTGGCAATAGGAGTATTGCTCTGTATATTGTTTTTCTGTCACTAGCATCGCCATTCTTGGTGCTTAAATTCCTTGACCATATTCCCCAAATAAAGGCACGCCCTGAGTCTTTGAATTGCAACGATGAAGAGGTTCCCCTGAAGAAGAGGATTGCATATAGAGTGGATGTCTTCTTCTCTGTGCATCCTTATGCTAAACTACTTGCGCTCCTTTTCTCGACGGTACTCCTTATTGGAATTGGCGGGTTGGCACTGTATGCAGTCAGTGATGCTAGCCTTTCTGAAGCTCTTTGGCTTTCGTGGACCTTTGTGGCAGACTCTGGAAACCATGCGGACCAAGTTGGCTCAGGGCCAAGAATTGTTTCAGTGTCAATCAGTTCAGGGGGAATGTTAATATTTGCCATGATGCTCGGGCTCGTATCAGATGCCATCTCAGAGAAGGTGGATTCTTGGCGCAAGGGAAAGAGTGAAGTGATCGAGAGTGATCACATACTAATCCTCGGATGGAGTGACAAATTGGTAAAGCTTTCTAACAATGTCTAGCATTAAGATCTTATGTAAGTTCTTTTGTTTTTTTATTTTTCCTTAAAAGGAAATATATGATTGAAACAATACAGTAGGCACATACCCCTCCCAACATATTTAAAAACATTGAATGTCCAATTCAAACATGCTGTCTACTCTTCCGACCGGATTTTTCTTTGGGAAGGAATTAATTTACAGTTTAGACCGTGCGTTTGTGTGCCTTGTCTTGTTTTATTGTTACACCAGACTTCAATTCCCTCTATACTCCACCGAACTACTATACTTTGTATTTTGTGTGGTCAATAAAAGCATCTCAAGATGCAAAATCTTGGGCTCTGCATCAGACTGACTGTACCTAACATGGTAAATTTTTGTTTGGCCTACTGTTATGAACTACCATTTTTGTTACGGGTCAAGTAACTGTTACTTTCTGACCATTGTATAACAGGGATCCCTTCTCAAGCAGCTGGCAATTGCAAATAAGAGCATTGGTGGTGGTGTCATTGTGGTTCTGGCTGAAAGAGACAAGGAGGAAATGGAAATGGACATCGCAAAGCTTGAATTTGACTTCATGGGCACCTCTGTTATTTGTAGGAGTGGAAGCCCTCTCATATTGGCTGACTTGAAAAAGGCATTTCCTGGTGAACTCATGAGCTATTTAAGATTTGTACTTCACCATATGTGTTCTATCAAAAAATTCCCATTATAGCATTTTGAAAATGTTTCTCTTAAATAACTGCTGACAGGTGTCAGTTTCAAAGGCACGTGCTATCATTGTTTTGGCAGCTGATGAGAATGCCGACCAAGTTAGTTATTCTTTTGCCAACTAAGAATCCTTAACTCTTCTTTCTGAGTTAGATCTCAATCTTCGATTTGTGTTAATTTTGCTTAGAGCGATGCACGTGCCTTGCGAGTGGTGCTTAGTCTTACTGGAGTAAAAGAAGGTTTAAAGGGTCATGTTGTTGTAGAGTTGAGTGATCTTGACAATGAACCTTTGGTAAAACTTGTCGGTGGGGAGCTGATTGAGACGGTGGTTGCTCATGATGTGATAGGGCGCTTAATGATACAATGTGCACTCCAACCAGGCTTAGCTCAGGTAAAGTTCCTTCTTTTCCCTTCTTTCCATCAATGCGGGTATTGGACCCACACCGAATTATATAGTAGCCATCTGCATACATATTAATCCACTTGGTTTGTTTCTTATCCTCTTGGCATAGTTTCGATATTATTATTTAGTTCATTTCTGAATTGAAGCTTTTGGAAAGACTGCGGCTAAAGACGATTAAAACTATCAGATAAAAGACACCTTGTTAAAGAGATTCGCATGTGTTGGTGATTGATTTTTGTGCTGTATATGTTAGATATATACTGCTTCTATAATGTCCAAACTTCTATGCTTTAGATCTCTTGTACAGTTCATTCTTTATGAGGTTATCCTTTGTCACAATATAAACCGGCTGATGAACCTTGAGTACAGTGTTGGTAATTGAAAAGCTTTTTTCATACCTAACTGCAAATCTTTGGGTACTTGTTGTGCTTCTCACATTTTGCAGATATGGGAAGATATATTAGGATTTGAAAATGCTGAGTTTTATATAAAAAGATGGCCTCAGTTGGATGGTATGTGTTTTGAGGATGTACTGATCTCATTCGCTGATGCGGTACCATGTGGAGTTAAGGTTGCTGCAAACGGTGGACAAATCGTAATCAATCCTGATGATAGCTATGTTATAAAAGAAGGTGATGAAATCCTTGTTCTTGCTGAGGATGATGATACTTATTCACCAGGTCCTCCACCGGAGGTGATCTATCAAACTCTATTTAACATGGGATTGGTATCTTGAAATTCTCGAACTCGTTTCTTGGTGGTTCTGATTATACTTCACTTTGACTATTTTCCAGTGAAGCCCTGAATTGAGATGTTGTTATATATATGTGTTGCATCTGTAATCATATTGCTCATACATGAGATAGAATACTATATATAGAGCAGGTTTCCATGCATACTAAAACTGGAATCATATATAAGATCAAGTTTATACTAATCAAGGACTATTTGATCATTTTTGTTTGTGTTCTCTTTTTCTCTCCTCCCTTCTCTTTTGTTTTTTAACTTTGTCAAACTATCATATATAATTTTCTATTGTTTTCTTGAGATTGCTATGATTCTGTTTCTTATGTGTGCGAGTATGTTTATTCGATCCCTTCTGGTAATGCTAAGAGATCAATTTTCATTTCTATAGGAACTGGTTTTGGTGATGGCTGTTAGATTTATATTAAGAAAGTTGTACTATATAAGTATATATAATTATTTGATCTTTATTGTACTTCCTCTCAAATCTTTACCATCCTAAATTTGTCTTCATAACTCTAATTTTGACTTAATCCTCACACGACTTTAATTGACTAGAAATGTCATCATGATTCAACAAACAATATAGTGATATATACACCAACAGACTTCATCTGGTATACTTATATAAATCTCATGAATGAAATTTGCAAACAAAAGATAAAACAATGATAACTCTTGGTGCATTTGCTTTAACTGTTTCTTCTTTTATAATCACATTGCTTGTAATAACTAGATGGCGCATGCCTTGAATTTTTAAACTTGTAAAGTGACATATGTGATTAGTTACCTAGTCTTGGTTAAGCTTTCAGGCTGAGTAAGCACTCTCATGTCATGAATTAAAAATTGTGAAAAAAATGAAAAATTGATTGATACACTGGATTGATTGTCAGTATTTGTTTCCCACGAGGATCATGAGATATTTTGGACCTGGTTGGTTTGATAATTTGTAATGTCATCAATGCATGAACTTTTTAACATTTGACATGCTTCTAACCCAAAATCTTCCTTGCCTCAGGTGCGGAGGGGTTTCCTGCCTAATGTTCCCAGCCCTCCTAAGTATCCAGAAAAGATATTGTTCTGCGGCTGGCGACGTGATATTGATGATATGATAATGGTAATATGATTTCTAATGTATAACGTGATATGAATTCAAAGTGTAGATTTACTGCAGACTTGATTTATCTTTGAAGTGCCTCTAACTCTGGATTCGTGTGTAATCTATAAGTCGCCATCTTTTTTTCGCTGTGTTGCTTCATAAAAGCTAATTAGTTAACTTCTGTTTTGACAATGTGTGATCTAATTAGAAACTTGATGCAATTATTTTTACTACCAGGTGTTAGAGGCTTTTCTTGCCCCTGGGTCTGAACTGTGGATGTTTAATGAGGTTCCTGAGAAGGAGAGGGAGAAAAAGCTAACAGACGGTGGACTTGATCTGTCAGGATTAACAAATATAAGACTTGTGCATAAAGAGGGAAATGCTGTGATCCGGAGGCATTTGGAAAGCTTGCCTCTTGAAACATTTGATTCAGTGAGTATGCAAAATTTTGTAGCAATAAACTCCCATGTTTTTTCTCGTCATTCTACAAGTAAACATTCATCATTTGAGGGGCTAGAAAAAATTTCTAGTGTCATGTCTTCTGTCATGCATCCCATTTTTGTTGTCAAGAATATGTATTTGTCATTAAGTAATGTATTTTCAAACGGATGGTTTTCTGTATACCATCTTGCAAATGATTTGAATGCTAACTTTGAGCCAACAGATCTTAATTCTTGCAGACGAGTCTCTGGAAGATTCTGTTGTGCATTCTGATTCACGATCTCTGGCTACCCTTCTCCTTATTCGTGATATCCAGGTACTTGGTGGTTGGTCGTAGGAACTCTATTTGATTTCGAATTAAAGCCATTTGTTGTTGACTTTCAACTGCAATGTTATAATATATTAACCTCTAAACTGTCTCATGTTTAATTGGAACAGTGACACAGATGAACAATTTAGATTCAGTTTTCTGTTTCTATGATGTGTTTGTTCTTCCTTCATTCTTGACTTGCCTTTCACTATTAGGAACAGATATATACCAATTGATAATAAAGATGACAGTAATTCCATAATCTCTTGTGCTTTCTCATGCTTTGCACTGTGCAAACAGTTTATTGATCTTTTTTATTTTGTAGTCCAAGCGCCTTCCATCTAAGGAAGCAAAATCTCCTTTGCGCTATGCTGGTTTCTCGCATAGCTCCTGGATCCGTGAGATGCAGCAAGCTTCAGACAAATCAATAATCATCAGTGAGATCTTGGATTCAAGGACTAGAAATCTTGTGTCAGTGTCAAGGATTAGTGATTATGTCTTGTCAAATGAACTAGTGAGTATGGCATTAGCTATGGTAGCTGAAGACAAGCAAATCAATCGTGTTCTTGAGGAACTGTTTGCCGAGGAGGTACTTCTATTGGCTATTTCACAGTTGCACAACTTATTTAGCATCAATATAACTGCATGTCAAGCTTTTTTCTTTAAAGCTGGTTAGTAATTACTGCTTCGTATAATTTGCCTAGACATGGTGTATTCGTATGGAATACTTTTGGCAGATATGTTTCAAGTAATTTAGTTAGTGAATACATGGCGAATATATAATATTCGCTATGGATTCTTATCTACATCTGATTTCACCTGCCACAAGTGTTCTAGTATGTCTAAGGTTTTGTTTGGTTCAGGGTTTAGTGGAATTTGTGGCTAGAGGTTTGACCCATAAAATGTTGTAGAGTTTAAAAGGTTAACCAGATTAAATGGTTTAATCCGCATAATCAGGAAAAGAAAACCTGCCTAAAGGAGTATAAAATACCCTCTCATGTTTCTTTTTCTAATCCATGGAGCCCAATTAGTTGGATTAATAACCACAAAGGAGAGCTAAATTAATTAGGGTGTCCGACACTATAAGTACACACATTAGTCATGAGGCTCTTGATATTTCGGCAAATTAGTGGTGCAACAGCAAGGAACAGCAGTTGCCTTTGAGCCATTGCATTTGTCATGTCTAACTATGCATATTATGTGTATGGATGATGCCTATGCAACTTGTTTACTCTGACTAATAATTTGATGTTATCTTGGGGCACCCATATATACCTCCTCATAGAACCACAAGAGAACGATTCATGTTGCACCCTGAAGACAGGATCTTTCCAGTTAGCTTATAGATATGTAGTAATAACTTGCAAGATACCATTGCAAATAAAACCAGTAATTTTCAGAATTGTCATACCTTTTATTATTAGGTCAATGAACAATTTTACACGATTATTTATGTTTAATTTTAAAGCATTTATCATGCATGTTAAAGCCAAAACTTTATTTTGTTGAACATCTCAGTGCTCATCTTCTCAGTGCTCATCTTTACCATTGTCTATCACATGGCAGTATTTTTCAGTCTTTACTATCTATAATGGGGCTTTTCTCCTTTTGCAATAGTTCACTAGACGATAAGGCTATGGAAGGTCATTTATACTTTCTTTTCTTTTCTTTTTTAGCATAGGTGGAAACTCAACCTATTTCTATCCAAGAAGAGTAAATAGACCGATAAGATTCATTAGAAGCAAAAATGCCAACTTTATTAGACAAGATTATGAATCATAAGACATCCATACAACTGAAACTTTTACTTGTATATATTACAGGGCAATGAAATGTGCATCAAGTCTGCTGAATATTATTTGTATGAACAAGAAGAATTGTGCTTTTATGATATAATGGTTAGGGCTCGTCAAAGGAAGGAGATTGTAATTGGATATCGCCTTGCCAACACAGACCAAGCAATAATTAATCCGGAAAACAAGTCGGAGGTTAGAAAGTGGTCTCTTGATGATGTTTTTGTTGTCATCTCCAATGGTGATTGATATCTCAAAGCAGTTTGTGGTCAGTTGCATCACTCTAGTTCCACTTATATGATTGTCACAGTCCACCATGCTGACAGAAGAGAGAGAATTTTGGTACCATGATTGATACATTAAGAATCATGCCTCTTTAACTTCTGAGTCTGTGCTACATCATCCTGATGCTTGTACCCATGAATATGATTTTGCAGCAGCTTACCTTTGAGCTAATTGTTGTACCTTTCTATCTGATTAGTGATCAATAAACTTGGAAGTATGTACATAATTTTTTTTTTCAACTTTACTGCAAGATATGATAATAATTTTAGCCTTCTCCAGACGGGAGTAATAGTTTCATACTATGTTAGTATGACAAAGGGCAATAGCTGCACTGTAAGCTGAAATTTTGATGATGTCGAGCATAATTCCTGACAAAATTGTAGTGATTGATTTCATTCTCTCTTCCATATCCAACTTATTTTGGTTTATGATGATGTGCTTACATTCTTAATGTATTAGACATTACAGAGAGCCACATGATCATGACAAGTCAGGTTGATGTACAGGTTTTATCGGTTTGTATTACATACGAACGAGAAGTTTCTTTACTTTTCCTTACAGGTTGCTAAAATTTAAATTTTGCTTAAATCAATTTTCAATATGTAAAATGATGCAATCGATATATTTAGCGTAGCCACTGTTATATTCTACTCTATGGGGAGAAAAAATGAAATCGATATATTTAGCGTAGCCACTGTTATATTCTACTCTATGGGGAGAAAAAATGAATTCCGTGAGAGATACGTAGACCTATGGTATACGGTTTGGAATAATACCGTTCGGTATGAGTGGTATATATCGGTCCAATAGTATATTGGTACGTAGATTGTCTGGTACCGAGCGGAATGTTTAACATCACGTCATATCATACGATACGGGATTATATCGGACGATAACGGTCGAAATTTTGATCGTTACCATTCGACATAGCTTGATAATGGTTGAAATCGACTATTATCGTTATGTAACAATGCTCCGATCAAATTGATCATTGAAGCCTTTTCTCGTACATTTTTAAATTCTTCTTCTCTCTTATTTCACTTCATTTCACTCTCGTACTTTCTTAAATTATCTCAAACTTTTTTTTTCTCATATTTGTACTCTCTTAAACTCTATAAAATAACGATTTCTGAATTAAATCGAGACTAATTTAAAAAAATTAAGAGGAAAAACTTTATAATAAAGAGATATGCATTTTATTTCTTTAATTAGATTTATGTATTTTTTTTATTTTTAGGTTATTTTTGGATGCTTTTATATATAAATTAGGTATACCGCTTGGTATGTCCTAGTATACCGCTCGGTATACGGTATCGTATTGTATCGAAACAAGTTTGAAATACCAGTACGATACTAAATTTCAATCTTTGCATTGACTCACTATGAGAAGTGGTTCTGATTTTATACTTTTGTAATGTTATTCAGCCACACCATCGGCAATGCTTTTATCATTTTATTCATCATCAATGCTTAATTATCTCGAGTTACCAGTCTTCATAAATGTCATTTTTGTAATGCCATCAGATTTTTCTTAAGCTGTCTAGGGAAGATTGCTTATATCATCTGCTTCTTTATGTAAGCTTGGATCAATTTGTTGGTAAATTCTTTACAAATACTTTGAATTATATGTTGATTCTAATCAGCTCAACAACATGGGTTTACTATGTCTGGTCCATTGGCAATTTTTATAGGATTTGTATTGCTGATTCTAATGTCTATATAAGTGCATAATCATTTTCATATTCCCCGTATGTGTTTTATATTGTTGAGAATTGATTCATAATAATTATCTACGTAGTTATAGAGCATGTTCTAAGTAGTGATCCATGATTTAGAAATTATAGGGTAATTTCTATACATAATTCAATCATGGGTGATATGATGGAATGAGGTAGTTACCATTAGGTCCTATAAATACGATCATAATTCATGAAACAAGATAGAGTGTGTGCACTTGAAAACATCTTTATTCTGTTTTTATCGTTTCCTTGCTCCTCGATCCTCAACATATATTTCTTCACATCTTTCAGATTTTACGATTTCATTTCACATATGTTGTATACAGATGTTACATGCAGTAACAAGCATTCAGATAAACCACAGATGTTTATGAGCTACAGAATGTAAAATTTACTGCACTTTTTTAAGTGATATGTAGTTATACCTTTACCATCCAATTCATGTCATCAGCATATGTAGTGCTGTCACTTGCCCAAACAACTGTTCTTCCTCCATGGAGAAGGCAAAAGGAAAAGAAATAAGAAGGTTTAGGGTTTCTATGCACCTGTTATACAAGGTACATGCAAAACTTAGCTACAGAATGGACATGGAGGTTGCCCTGATACATGAACCATCACAACACTCTCACTCTTCTTCTTCTACGTCAGTGACGAACTTCCCGGTCCCTGGATTCAGTGCTGCAAAGAAGAAGAACACAACGTTGAACAGGACCAGTGGCTCGATGTCGCTGATGGGCACACCGGTTTCGATGTTGAGCTGCGCCAGCGCTCCCTTTCCTGTGACGATCTCGCCGATAATGGAGAATGCGATCCCCAGCTGAGCCAATCTCCCCACGAAGAGCTCGTTCGCCTTGGTGAATCCGAAGAGGGGACCTTTCATTCAAGTACAACACAAGGCGTCACGATCGCCTTCCATGGGTCAAATCAAATCGGCAGTTGGGTTCAATTACCTCCTTCCTTCAGTCCCAGAGCAGATCTGAACCCCTTGCCCGGAGGGATGACGGCCCCCTCCAGGCCCGTGGGCGGATCGTCGACGAAGCTTCCGCGGTCGCCGAGAGCGCCTATTGCTCCGAGAAGAGTGAAGAGGATGAAGAAGAGCAGGAGCGGCTCCGCCTCATAGATCGGTATTCCCGTCTCCAAGTTGAGCTGCGCTAGGATTCCTTTCCCTGTGATCGCTTCTCCCAGTATAGATGCCTGCAATTTGAGCCGCTCTCAGATCGTCTTCAAGCTTCGGTCGTGGTGTAAGCAGTCGATGGCATGCGTACTCACCGCGAACCCGATCATGGCGACACGGCCGACGAAGAGCTCGTTCTGCTTGGTGAAGCCGATCCCCCCTGACGTGCCGAAGATGCCATCTTCCACCTTCCGCTTCGGCTTCGGCTTCGCTACCTGTACAACGCAGCGCACACGGTCAACCGGGAACTCGTGCACGGAGTAGTCCCGCAGAACAAGAGCGCGAAGCTGACGACCTGCTTCTTGGCCGGAGCCTTGGTTTTGGGCTTGAATATGGCGAGAGTCGGGAAGAAGGAAGCAGCGGGCGGCGGAAGCTGTCGTCCGTGAGGGACTCGAGGAAGGAGGAGGTGGGAGAACGGCGTGGGGCGGAGCCGGTGAGTCTGGGACTGCAGCAATGCAGCCTCTTTGCCGCCGATGCTGGAGACGAGCATGGATTGAGCCATGGCTTTGTGGCGGTACTCTTCTCTTCGCCTGTGACCGCGTGGTGTGTGTGTGGATTAAATGAGAAGGCGAGATGGGCGCCTGGATAGGGTTTCAGGAGCTCTCATGGCGGTGGAGAGACCACGTCTGCGTGTCGATGGACATGGAGATAATGTCGCATTGCTGCTATTGTAGAAGAGAGGTGGGTGTTGAGTGCTTGGGATCTGTGAATCCGAACTCCTCCACGCCTGCACCGAACCATAGCACGACGGTGGAGCGTCGTTATCATCCGGTGGAAGGAGGTCGCCTTCAACCTCTGTTCTCATACGAAGAGGGACTGTTTCTGAGCCAGTCATGTCTGCCTCGTCCCAGCGGCCGGCTGATCTCTTTCCGTCATCCTTCGTGTACGTGTGTTCCTCTTCGCAATAATATTTTGACACGTGTATATTCTTCGCTGCTTACGTAAAATTTCAATTAATTATTTTCTTTTTCTTTTATAAATTCTAAAATATCTTAAGGTATCAAATCATATCGATCGATGGGACCGATAAATGTCGATCCCGTGATCCTCCACCGTCCGTCCTCAATTTGATCCGCCGACTTGGGATCGGATCCCGCACGCAAACCAAGGCGGCCTTCGTTTTTTAAAGCACGGATCTCATGACGTACGTAAATCATCCGACGGACGCGATCGCAATTGGATCCGCGGAACTAAAACGCGAAATTTGGAGGAGATCCCACTGACCTCTTCGATCACGCTCGTCTATCACCGATCAGGGTAGCATCTGACGGACGAGATTGAACTGGGTGCGCGGAACGAAAAGAAGATATTTGGAGGAGATCCGGCCCAACTCAATTCATCTATCACCTTGCCGTCCGGAGAGCATCCGACGGACACGATTGGAATTGGATGCGCGGAACTAAAACAGGAAATTTGGAGGAGATCCCACCTTTTCCGAGAGAAAAGAACTCTCCATCTTGAATTCAAAATTCCTTTCCTCTCCGCCATCTGCGCTCCCGGCCACGACAGGGAACAGAGGAAACGCCCAATGTGACGTCGCTCTCGCCCCTTCTCATGCTATTCTCGTGGAGGAATCCGATGGGGATGTTAGTGAGCGTACCTGCATCCTGATTCGGAAATGACATCTAATCATCTCCCCTGCATCTCCGCTGACATGTCTCTCTCGGTCTCGCTCCCTCAGTGCTTCAAATAAGAGAAAAAGGCTCGTTTTTATTTTGGTCGGTTCTCTCTCTCTCTCTCTCTCTCTCTCTGCGCCCTTTTAACCTTATCGAGGCTCCGCAAATCGAAGCCATCGGTCATCCGGCTGTTCTTCCCCACTTCTACTGCTTTCTTTCTTCCGATGGTGATTCGATGAGACGTTCTTGCTACGCTGGCGGCCAAGATTTCCGTTCTTTGATGGTGTTCGCCTCTGTGGGGTGGTTCTGGACAATGCGGGGTTCTGTTTGTGTGAGTGGGGGCTCGGGGTCGTCGTCTAATTTCTATTTTTAAGGGTGTGAAGTCGAAGGGGTTAAGGTCGGCGTGGTGATTTGGACTGCCAGAGTTGGCTGTGCTGGCTGCAGCAGTCCCCGGAGATGAGCCCTAGGGAGACGGAGATCTCGGGGTCGTTATCTTCTTCCCAAGCGTACTGGGATGAGCCGGTCCGTTTCCCTTCTCTTTTCGTGTTCATATTCTCGTTTTGAAGCATCAGTTTCTTGTTTCTTTGTAGTTTGTCGCTAAATAAAGCTCTCTTGGAACTCTTCAACTTTCAAATCGCAGAAATCTGTTTGAATTTCTCATCATTTGGTCCTTCTTTCATGTCATTCCTAAGCTTCCTATCTTTATGCTTAAACTCTCCCTTTGTGGTATATTAACAAGCAAGGACCTCCATTTTGCTTGTGTTCTTCCTGGAGTTCAAGGAAGTAATGTAGATGCAAATGTGGGATTCTTGGAACTAGGACGCCCCATTTTGCTTGTAAATGCAAATGTGGGATTCTTGGAGTTCAAGGAAGTAATGTCTGATTGAATGTCTTGTTGTTTTGGTTAATGATGTGTTATTGCCATATTAGCTAGTCATATTGGATGGTGTTTGTGTTGTATTAGCAAGTACATCATCTCCAGAAATTCACAAAACAAAACAATAGAAAGATCCTTATAACACTAGCTGATCAGCCTCTCCATTTACCATGGAAAGAGGCCCTTTTGAGTTCAAGGTGTGGAGAGTTGATGTATGTGACCTTACAGGCCCACAAGCAGAGATCTTGTTTCCATGACTTGAGCCCGCATCACCGAGGCCATAAAGGGGCAATATTAGTGTATCTACTGTTTGGTTACTCGGAGTCCTGTAAATGATTATAATAAGTCACACAACCTTGGACCGAATTTTCACATGGTATCATGTCAAAATGATCCCAGACACATTTGAGTTTATTATGCCTGTATTTATGTCTACAATTTACTGTAAATTATTAACTCCATATCGATTGAAAACATTTGAAAGGAATAGATGAACCAGTGGACATTTTAGCCAAAAATTGACAACACTTTCCTTAAGCCTCATCCACTAATTATCAGGTAAAAATTAGGAAACTTGTTTGGCATTTTTTGTTTTTTTATTAGCAAATTGAATGCTTATTACTGATTGGTTGGCATGCCTTATCTGGGTTAAGCAGTATCTTGCAGAGTATATCTATATCTTTATATATGTATGTATATACTCTGGAGTTGAAGAGAACCTTATGGCCTTACATCCCAATATGTGCTAGACATGTATTTTACGGCAAGCAAATATGGGTGGTGTTGTATAAACAGCTGAAATACTGATTGCAGGAGGTATCGAGGGCTTCTGCTGCTAATTCTTCTCCAAGCGATGCACAATCAGTGGATGATTCATTAAAAGATGTTGATGTTGAAGTAGGTGACACTACAAATGGCATCACCGAGAAATTAGCTGCTGCTCTTGTGAGTATACGTTCTAAAGAAGATTTGGTGAAGCAACATGCAAAAGTTGCTGAAGAAGCTCTTTTAGGTAAGCTTCCTGATACAAATACTTCAAGCAAACATATAGACAATTCAACCCAAGTCTGTGAATGTATTGGCACGAATCATCTGGAATGCAAAAGAACTCAGCCGGTGCAATCAAGTCTTTTTGATATTGCAAATAATAAATTAGGATTATGCTCAGATGAGAACTATTTCATCTCATTCCATGCTCTGCCATCCTGCTTAAATATAGTGACCATGCTTGTTGGTGTGGAATTTTAGGGCAGGATGTATATTGTAAAACAAAAATCATCTACCAAGAACTTATGGCTAACTGGATCCTGACTAGTTGAGTCGCTCAACATTGATTCCTTATGAAGTAATCTGGCTCTGGCTTTTGACTTTGTAATTCTGAATCAAATTTCTACAATTGTGCAGTGTGGTGCATAGATTAGTACTTTGCATCTTGCACGAAGTAGTCAAACATGATGACTTAGTTTTCTTTTGTAGTTCAGACCTAATGCCGTACCTTTTGAAGGTTGCACTATTTTATTGTTGTACTGTTGCAGCTGAACTATGTCTTCATCATCAAATTTTGATAACATTAAAATGATTAATAATCTTCTGTCATAAGCTTCAGAATTTCATGTTTTAGTGCATTAGTTTATTCCACCATCATAACATTCTAGCAGATATAGTATCCCACCATGTATGATAAATGATTGCTAACTACCATTGGCATCAGAAGAAAATTTTACTCATCTTGAATGATCAACTTGTCCAGGATGACATGATGGGATATTTAGAAGGCTACAAACTTGGAATTAAAAAAACTCAATTACCATCAATTTTAAGCTCTTCGATTGGTTTTTCTTCTGCAGTCAGCATCTGTCTTTCACTAGTTTTATATTCAAAGGCATTTATAACTTTGTTGCTAAATTGGTGAAATTTCCATTTTTCTTGCCAGGCTGGGAAAAGTCGGAAAAGGAAAGCACATATCTGAGGCAGCAACTCAAAACTGCAATGCAGAAGAATACTTCCCTTGAAGAAAAACTTGGCCACCTTGATGATGCCCTCAAGGAGTGTGTTAGACAGCTACGGCAATCAAAAGAAGAACAAGCGGAGAAAGTCCAGGAGGCCATCTTCAAGAAAACACGTGAATGGGAGTCTCTCGAGTCTGAACTTGAAGCCCGCTTCACTGAGCTTCAAACCCAGCTGGAAGCTAAAACTGAAAGTTACAACTCTTTGAACCATGAGCTTTGCTCTAAAGTTGAGACTCTCGAAAAAGAAAATGCTTCACTCAAAGTTAAATTAACTGCTTTAACCGAGGATCTCCATGTGCGAACACTAGAGATGGATCTCAGTATCAGAGCTGCAGAAACAGCCAGTAAGCAACATTTGGAGGGCATAAAAAAGATGGCCAAGCTCGAAGCTGAGTGCCGTAGTCTGCGTGCTAGAATACAAAAGCCATTATTGTCTAATGATCACAGGTTCATTTGCAACTCTTTGTATGGAGAGTCTCTCACTGATAGTCAATCAGATAGCGGGGAAAGATTGTTTGGTCTGGAAAATGAGCTAAGTGTTCCTGACTCATGGGCATCAGCATTGATTGCTGAGCTTGACCAGTTCAAAAATGAAAAGTCAAGTGCTAGAAATCTTACCAGTCCTGTAGAAATTGACCTGATGGATGACTTTCTTGAGATGGAAAGGCTTGCTGCATTAACAGAGATTGACTATGGAAGTTCTAGTTTTGAGCATGAAGCTGATTTAGATGTTGCCATACCCAGGCAGAGGTCTCCTAGAAGTAGTCCTGAAACCATGCGCCAGCAGATGGCTGTATTGGAGGAAAAGATTGAGAAAATGACAATTGAAAAGGGGAACATGGAGACGTCTATAGCTCAAACCAACTGCCAGCTGAAGACCTCTTGCAATCAGCTAGTTGTAGCTGAAGGTGAGTTGGTTGAACTGCATAGACAACTTAATTTGGTTAATGGGGAAAAGCACACTCTTGAAATAGAACTAGAAATAGCAGAGGCAAAGAGAAAGAAGATGGGACTTGAGCTTGATACGGCACATAAAGAAATTGGGGATTTGAAGCATAGATTAAACTTATTAGAGAAGAGAGTTGATGAAGAGAAGCCATTAAGCAAAAAATTCACTGGTAGGTGTCAGAATATGGAGGTGGATGCCGAAAGGAAGGAAATGGAATCTGAGCTTGAATCTGCATATGGGGATCATACAAATTTACAAGATAATACAGACTTCTTAAAAGTGGAATTTGAAGAGAAGCGGTTGTCTGCAGAATGCACATATAGGTACCAGAATTTAGGCACCTTAGAGGAAAAGAGAAAGGATCTGGAGTCTCAGATTGAATCAGCAAACTTGGAACTTTCCAAGCTACATGAGAAGTTTGATCGAACTGAAAATAAAATTGAGATGTTTTGTTTTGACAATTGTCCAAGCATGGATGCTATCGACGAAAAGGGAACACAACTGGAATATCAAACTAATTCAGCAAATTTGGAAGTTCACAAGCTACAGGAGAAGGTGGATTTATCAGAAGCAGAAGCTGAAGAGCAAGTACGACCATCTGCAGAATTTGAATCCGATATAGAGTCTCTGGAAGCGAAGAAAATGGAACTGGTGGTGCAACTTGAACTGGAACACATGGAAGTTCGGAGCCTTCAGGAGAAGGTGCAGATATTAGAAAAACAAATCGAAAAGGAGAAGAGATTGACTGCAGAATTTGCAGCTCGGTGCCACACACTGGAAGATGAACTTTCCACGAAGCAGCAATCCGAGACTCAACAATCTGCAAACTCAACTGCATCTCTGAATATTAGACAGGTAAATGTATTTAACGCCTCAAGCTTAGGCAACAGATCTTTGTATCTCGAACACGACCCTATCGTGTGATTTATTCCTATACAGGAAAAAGAGGTTGCTCAGGCAGCCGGAAGGCTTGCAAAGTGCCAGAAGACCATTGCCTCTCTCAACCTGCAGTTGAAAACGTTAGCAACTCTGGATGATTTCTTGGTCCAAACAGAGACGCCAGAATCAAGTGGAAAGACAGTGGAACTCAAGGAGGATTCTTCAGAAAAACCAGGTGGCTCTTCAGCTCTCTGCAACGGTGCACAAAGCTTGCCCTCCGTTGATTGCCGACTGATTTCGTCCCCCATCAGAAGCAATGATCTCATACAAACCAAGTACATATGTCACTGACAAAGAAAGGTAACATTTGTTCGATGGACGCACTATTACTCGTTGATCAACAGATGAGTGTTCATCGGTGCCGCCGAATCTGTAGCTTAAGCAACAAACGGAGGACACACTTGAAGCCATTTCTCATGGTAATGCATGTGGCCTTAGCATCAAAAACACAAACTTTGCTTTTATGTAGTCTGCGGCATTATAATGAGGATATCTTTTTGCTCCTCCCAACATCTCGTCGATTTGATTTGCTTTTTATTATGTCTTTTGAAATGGATAACTTAGTTCTTTTGTTTATTAAATGTTGATTTCAATTTTCTTTTAGTGGTTTCGTTCATCGGATTCCTTATTCTTTCTTTCGATTCTGAACCTAAATCTAAATTCAAATTTAAATTAGATTGATTTGTGGGTCGACGGCCTTCCCAATTAATCTGGAGGCATACACTCTACGGCACCGAGAAACCTCCTCGTCTTCTGCTACGTCGAAGAAGCCCATTGGAAACCCTTCCTCTCCGATCTGGTGTTTCTGCCGGAGGACCAAACACGATTTCTTATTTGGTAATTGGGGCATTAGAGTACCTTCAACTGGTGGGCCCACGAGTTCGACGGTCGCGCGGGACCTGGTGCCTGTCTCGGCGTGACAGGGGACACCGATTGAGGAACCGGTGTACGTGTCATGCCTTTTTGATCCAAAAGTATCGAAAGAGATACTGCTGCCTTTCCTTATCACCGGTGCAAAGCGCCTTTGTTGCTTCGTCTGGTTTACTTCCCTGCGAGCGAGAGCGAGAGCGAGAGAGCGATGAGTGCCGGAGTGGGAAACCCTAACGATTCGAAGGTGGAAACGATCGCGAGGCTGGCGCAGTGGAGGATCGAGAGCTTTGGCCCTTGCTCCTACCGCCGCTCGGATGCCTTCAGGCTCGGCATCTGGAACTGGTGCCGTCTCCTCCTCTTCTTTCTCACCGACTTCCTTCTTTGCTGACCTTTTTGGGCCAGAAGTTGGATCTTTACCGCTGTTGTTCGGGTTCTTAGGTACCTCTCGGTCGAGAAGAATCGGTACATGCACATCCGGCTCTTCCCGGAGCCCTGCCGGGTCTCAAAGGAGCAGCTCCCCGTCGCTCGATTTGTGGTTCGGGTCTTCTCCCCTTGTCTTGGCCACCGATCCTATGTGTCGCCTGGTATCCCTCATCGCCTCGCCCTTCATTTATGCTGACTTGTTTTACTCCTATTTCGGATTTCTTGCTTGTTTCAGTGCACAGATATGAGGATTTAAATTCTTATAAGACTGTTTGAACTACGGAAGAAGTGGTTTGAATGAAATCCGGATTGATTGGGTTCCAGCTATGGTTTTCATCTCATTAGATTCCAAGAGACGGTAAAAAATCCCTTTTAATTTGAGAAACTATATTAGGGTTCGAATGCTATCCAAATTAAATTCTTCTGTAGCTTTATTGGACACTCTATAGTAACAAGTAGAGTTATACTACCTGTTAAAGTCAATTCTAGGTTGCCTGAGCTGGAAACCAACTTGGATCCAACCTGATCTTTTTTTCAAGCCGAAAAACACGCCAAGCTGGTCTTTCGACCCTGCAAAGCTAACTCGGTGGATGATCCCGATAATGCCCCTGCGACGGTTAAGTCAATGATGGTATCGGACAAGCCAAACTAGTCGGACTAGTCTAGCGGGCCTGTTATTTTGTTAGTGTCTTGAGCGTACCTAGGCGGCCCTTTTTATAGTCGAGCCTGGGGGGCCATTACACCATCTGTTTAGGGTGGCTGTGCCTGATGGTTGCAATCGCTTATAACAGACACTAGATCGTTTGTCAGTTAGCCATGCTGTTCATAGAAATCCGCACTTCAATATGTGTTCATAGAAATCATTGCTGGGTAGTGCATGATACTAGTGACTAAGATGATGACACGTCGATTGTATGAGATGCTAGCGGCAGCCACATCATATCCACTATAACACTAACGCATCGGGTTCCGTCTTATTCATACCCAGCCATGATTTCGCTCTAAATATGAGTCCTGCAACAAGCAAAATACCTTTTAATTTAACAACTAATATCACTTGGATTACAATTCGAAGTACAATTTGTCTTTGATTTCCAAGCACACATGACATGAAAAATAATGGGAAAAATACATGGAATTCCTGAATATAGAATTGTGGTAGTCAACTAAAACTAGTTTGTTTTAGATTTGATCCTAACTCAGTTAGACTAAAGACTAAACCTTTTATTCTGAATCGAAATGTGCTTTTATTCTTGTGTGGCAAATGATCCAAAACCTGAATAAGCTTGTCCAATTGGTTGAGTTTTATCACAATGGGTCTAGATAGGTTGACTGAGAGTTCATGGTAGAACACTAGGGTTTGTGGTACTAAAAATTAAAATGTGAAAAATTAGTGTATTTGCTTGTACTTTTGTTCCGCAGCTATCTGACTGGTCATGGCTCAACTGCAGTTTATGAGAAGCTTCTCCGTACCAGTGAAGACTTTGTATGGGTCACTGATTTTAATTCTCCTGGATGCTTCATAGTTGATGTGGAGTTTCTGGACTTGAAGATAGCTCCATTGCACGTAAGGGCTTAAGAAGTTGAGACTTTTAAGGCTTGTGAACTGTTCATGTTTTCATATAGAACTAGTTCCATAATCTTTTGTGACATGATATTATATTCAAAGGAATGATAAAAAGATGCAACAAAATTGATTTAAATCTTCAGACTCTTTTTTTTAAAGAAAAAAAGTTCTGAACCAATATGTTCATATGCTTGTGGAATTTAGGGTGGAGATCCTTCTTCAATCTGGTCTAACGGACGGATGCCGCAGACACTTTCAAGCAAAAACACTATCCGATGCCTCTCTCGAATGCTCGAGGAGGGTATCCATGCTGATGTTACCATCAAAACTTCAAACGGTCTCCTGAAGGCCCACAAAGCAGTTCTTGCCGCAAGCTCTCCTGTTTTCGAGAGCATGTTCCTGCACAATCTCAGGGAGAAAGAGTCATCGATGATCGTTGTAGAGGACATGTCGCTGGAGGCTTGCTTGGCACTTCTTTGTTACATGTATGGCACAATAGTACAGGATCAGTTCTGGAAGCATAGACTTGCGTTGCTCGGCGCGGCGGACAAGTATGACATCGGCGACCTCAAAGACTGCTGTGAGGAGAGCCTCTCGGAGGACATCAGCTCCGACAATGTCCTCGAGAGGCTTCATGAGGCATGGCTCTATCAACTTAACAAGCTGAAAAAGGGATGTCTGACATACTTGTTTGATTTTGGCAAGATATATGATGTGAAAGACGAATTAAATGCCTTTTTCCGCCATGCTGATAGGGAGTTGATGTTGGAGATGTTCCAAGAAGCCCTTACTGCTTGGAAGCCTGCATGACCATGGACTTACTGTTCTGAAGTAACTTAATGCTTTGTTATTAGGAGGTATGAATGTTCTTTCATGATCAAGCTATGAATATTGTTGTTTCTTCTCGCTCATTCTGAGGTAATTTAAGTCTTCCTTTAATACTAGTCTCGGTATGTATTACTAAATAATAATAATATCATTATTATTATGTGATTGAGGAACCGATCGTGGTTGGATTGAACTCGTCGAGAGTGATGAGTGCAGGTGTCGAAATTGTAATGGAATTGGACGATTCCAATTAAACTAATAGTTGGAGAGGATCCGTGGTCTAACTGGTCTTAACATCAGACGCGATCTACGCCGTTCATCATCGTGACAGGCGTTTCACGTGTCCTCCGTGCCAAAGAAGGCGAAACTATGTAATGCTTAATGACCAAAAGACCCATAAGAATGATCGTGCTCTGTCTCACGGTCTAAATTGTAATTTTGACCAAATCGAAGGGTGTATTGTTTCACAAGCCTCTATCGATCGCCGACCCAAGAAAGACCTCTTCCGATCACCGCAATGATAGAAGCCAGCCATTCATCTCTTTCCTCTCCTCCGCCTTCTCCACCTCGCCTCCTTCCACGAAACTAGGGTTTCCCAATTCCGCCGCAAAGATGTCGACGTTCAGCGGCGACGAAACTGCCCCCTTCTTCGGGTTCCTCGGCGCTGCCGCGGCCCTCGTTTTTTCCTGTAATTTCCCGCAATTCCCTCGCCCATCGTGTGTTTCGATTTCGTCGTCCAGATTCTTTGATGTAGCAGCTCGGCTTTTTGGAATGGTTTCGGTTGGTTCTTGGTCTTGACAGGCATGGGGGCGGCGTACGGGACGGCGAAGAGCGGCGTCGGTGTGGCGTCCATGGGTGTGATGCGCCCGGAGCTGGTGATGAAGTCGATCGTGCCCGTCGTCATGGCTGGAGTGCTTGGGATCTATGGTCTCATCATTGCGGTGATCATCAGTACCGGGATCAACCCCAAGGCCAAGTCGTACTATCTCTTTGACGGGTACGCGCACCTCTCGTCTGGGTTGGCTTGTGGCCTTGCAGGACTTTCGGCTGGGATGGCGATCGGCATCGTGGGCGATGCTGGAGTAAGGTAGCTATTCGATCCCCCTATCCAATCTCTTTAGATGTATGATTGATCTATATTTATCTCTTTGTGTTTGTGTATCAGATTTGCATATTAGGCATTTGTTTCTCAATTATGTGTAGATATATCGTCGCCATTAATTACTCAAGATGTATCTGAAATATCTAATGCTTGATTGTATAATTGAAATTGTAACATAGTGTTTACTAGAGGTTTTCCTAGTGGTATTTTGCCAGAATGTATCTTAATGAAAAGAAGAACAAAAAATGGCCATATTTGGAGACTGTTTATTTATCTTGGAAAGACATGATGTTATGTCGGTCGCATAGAGTATACTTTTTTGCTCATTATCACCATTTTGTCATCCACCTTTGTTTATCTTTCAACTCAATTGTTTTCGTTAACCCAAGGCTCAAAGTAACATTTGGTTTCGTTACCGGTCTAACCTTAAACGGTTTTGGTAATTTTAGTAGTATGGAGTTCAGTTCCGGTGGTTTGATCAAATAGTTCGGAAAAAAATATAACAATTTTATGAACAAGTAAGATCATAAAAAGGTAACTCAAGGGAAAAAAAAAAAGCTGATGAATATGCGAAAAATTTTGATGTTTGTCTTTACCAGATCTAGTTACCTTGAATATTGTTCCTTCTTTTTAAAGTATACAGCAACATTTCTATGTGCTAAGCACCCACCTCATTCAGCATGAAGTGATGACTCAGTCGGCCCAATGCTAATGCCAAAGAAGTGTATAAATAAAGGTAAAAGCTCCCCATAGGCAGATTCTATGTCCTGTAGCTAGGGCAACTTAGAAGCAGGGTGATAGAAAGGAATGGATCGGTTGATCGGCTTTAAGCTCTTTTTGGAGATCATATAATTAGATGTAACTGCCACGTCTCCTATGGCATGCACAGTTTTGAGGTACATCGACAAGCTGTTCTTCCAATGTGAGAAGCACCAAACTTACATGCATAAATAAATCATATGCTGCTGTTCTCTGGACTGGATTACGAACGTCATAGCTTGATTTTACGTAAAGTTCCTGGTATTTATTTGTCATTTCAGTCCTTTAATAGTTGAGGCAGTTAATAGGTTTGGACATTCAACTTTTGCATATCTTAGCAATTTATTTTGATGTTATTATATTCTAGAAATGCTTATACGTATGATATATGTTTAATGCTTCCATGATATGATGTGTTTGTATTTTTTACATTCTTTTTTGATTTGTCGGTCTGATGGCATGCAAATATGTTATAGCTTAATCCACTATGAACTTTGAAGATGAATTTGGACTTAAGAGCATGGTAACTCATTGTCGTTATGGTCATGGACTCACTCTAGAGGCATCGGTTTATATATATTTGATCTTTGTCCCTGCCTACCTTATTTCTGGGAAGCACCTAGGACTTCACAAGTAAATCCAATGTTATATTAGCATGTTGTTTAGTCATGATTTAGCATTATGATCATGGATGTAATGGTGTAAGAGTTATGATGTTGAACCGAAATATCCAGTGAGCTTGTTTTTGGTTTTGGTCATGAACGATTTATAATTAAGGTCAGTGCAGTCATTTATAGTCTTAGTAACTCCTGTTATCTCGATAACATTGGGATGAACTTTATAAGCTAATTTTTTATGCTTGCTTATTCTGACATGAGCCTGGTCGATGCTATTAACCCTCCACATCCGACGACAATAGTGTTGTCAATGAAGTAGGAGTGTAAAGATTTTGTGGGAATAACAGATCCCCCCAACTCCTTCATGAAACTTGTTTAGCAAATTACCACTACTTGATCTGCACTTTGGGCTCATCTATTTTATATGCTTACATGAAGTATTTGATGGGTTGTGCATAGCAATCATTCTGACACATTATTTAGTTAATTGATCCACTTCCGATATTTAAGCTGCATTTATTTTGCAAGATAATAATAGTGTTGTGGGTTTATTTATTTATATCTGTCGTAGGGCCAACGCTCAGCAGCCAAAGCTCTTCGTAGGTATGATTCTTATTCTCATCTTTGCGGAAGCTCTCGCGCTCTATGGTCTTATCGTTGGCATTATTCTTTCCTCTCGGGCTGGTCAATCTCGAGCGGAGTAAGAAACACATGACGAGTGTGCTCGCCGTAGTATATTTCTGCAACTTTTTTGTTATCATAATGTAATTTATTCAATGACTCTCCTCGGATGAGAGTCTGTTGTTTGTTAACTCACTCACACTACATCCTCAATAATTTGTCACTGCACTTTTATTTGTACGAATGATTATAAACGTGCAACCTTCATATAATTTTGGTCCACTCTGCCGTCTCGTTTCCTTCTGTACCGCCCTGTAAAAATTCGACTGTGTTGATGACAAACTTTGCAGGCATGTATGTAGCTTCCTCCAAATCAGACGGCCGTCAGAGCGTCTCATGCAGTAGCGGTCTCGAGGTGAATGGAAGATAGCAGCCCGAAGTGAATGACGAGGTGTGCGGGGCTCTCTCTTCCAAACGATTCCTCGTCCTTCCTCCTCTTTCCCAAACTCTCAAGCCGCCATCGTTGGTCTTCGTCTTCATTTTCACTCTTTCTTTGCCTTTCTTCTTCATCGCTTGGGATTTCCCTTCTCGATTCCGGCCTCAAGAACTCCTGCGAGCGAAAGATCTTTCTGGTTTCTGTTGTTTTCGTCATTTCCCTGTTTCTGGTGCCAATTTAGATCAAAGCTTATCGTTGGGTTTCCTTCGGGGTTCTGTTGGACGTCTCTCCCTCTTTTTTTGTCCTTTTAGGACAGATTTTTTATGTGTTTTTGTTTCATCTTCTCTTCTCTTTAGGTTCTTTTTTGCTTCCCTTTGAATCTTGAGGGTTTTCTTGGACCCCAAACTGGCTCTTCCGTCAACAGGATCTGGATACACGGAACGAGAGTTCAGTGGCACTCTCCCATGCTTCCTCCTAAAGCAATTCTCTCGAGCCACCACATCGTCCGAGATCAGGGTTCGGATCTAAGCATTCGCTTTCTTTCTCTCGTTCTATTAATTAGACTCTTTATTTTCTTTTGTTCTGTTTCCTCTTTTTGATGGCTTTAGTAGTAGTAGCAGTAGTAGTAGTAGTAGTTAGTACTTGGGGTAACAAACTACAAAGGCATCCAAGAAGAAGTGCATTGATAGCGAGACCATATCATTTTTTTAATATATATATTTCCGTAAGGCATATTTCACATCGATAGATCGTTTTTCATTTTATGTCAGGTGATGAATGACATTTGATTATTATCAATCAATTGTGGCATTGTATTATGTCGATCAATCAATCACCGTCTATTTTATCACCTGCGGGTCACGTGATGGCATTGGCCTCTTCTCGTATAAATAGTCGGTTGCCCCCTCCTCTCTTTGCCTCATCACGGTTTCTTTGGGTTGGTTTTCCTTCAACAGATGAGGAGGATTGGGATCGTCCAGACGACTCCGACGGTAAGAAGATCGGCGGACAGGGCCGCAGATTCTCCCCCTCATCTCTCTCTCGTCGTATCAGGTTTCTTTTCTGTTCCTATCCCTATCCCTCTTGGTCATGGGATTTTCTTTAGGTTTCCTCGTGAATCCTTGTTTCTGGGCTTTCTTTAGTTTTCTTCAAGTTCTCGTGACTTGTTTTGGGTTTCTTCACGAATCTTGCAAGTTGTTTCACGGTTTTCTTCAGCTCGCCTCTACTTCCCTCTTTCCGCTGTTTCTCTTGATCGAAGCTTCTGGTTTTTAGATTTATTTACGTCTCTTGTTGAATTTTTCAGTGTTTTCTTCAGTCTTCACCTGATTATTCTTTTGGGGTTTCTTCCGGTTCCCCTTCTCCTCTCGTCCCCGTTTCTACTGTTCCTTGCTGTTGAGATTTCTTTAGGTTCGTTCTCGATTCAGTCTTCTTCTGAATGTTGGGGATTCTTTAGGTTCATCTTCCTCTTCTGCGATCTTCTCTCCTCCTCCTCTCTATGTCACCCCTTTTTCCTACTGTTCCTCTTGATTGGAGCTTCTTGTTCTTGAGATTTCTTTAGGTTTGTTCTTTAATCTTTTGGGTCTTCATCTCCTCGTCTCGTCTACAACTCCTTTCGGTCGAAGCTTCCTGTTCTTGGGATTTCCTTGGGTTTTCTACTTCGATCTTTTCTGCTTTGTTCTTTGGGGGCATGTTTCGGTACCCGCTTCCTGTAAGGTAAAGTTCATACCAGTTTGATTGCGCATTGGTTATTTGTTTTCTTTAGGATTTGATTTTGCTGCTAAGGTGCCTCTCTCTCTCTCTCTCTCTCTCTCTCGGTGATGGACGCAATTGTGCTTTTGATCTATGTTTCATAGATGTGAGCATGCATGTCTGATTAATCATTCAAAAATACTCGGAGATGCATTATTTATCTCTCTCTCAGACTTGTCGTTTTACTAAAGACGAGTTTCCGTCACCATATGATTGTGGAACTCGTTGCAGATGTCGATTTTTACTTCTGGATAAGTTGGATTCAAAGGTTATGTGGTGAGGCGTAGGCTTTTTCCCTGTTTTATTTTATATGTTCTAGTTCTGTTATGCCTATTTGTCATCAAGGGGATGTAGCTCAGATGGTAGAGCGCTCGCTTAGCATGCGAGAGGTACGGGGATCGATACCCCGCATCTCCAATTTTTTTTATTTTACTTTTTTTATTTGATTTAAATATTATTTGCAGTCTAGTGAGAAAGAGGGACAGGTGATAGACGGATCTGACATTGACCGATCTAATTCTCGTCCGCTGAAATCTCATCGGTGACATGACATGACACAACACAACTTTCTCAGTGACAATGCATCAAATCATGTAAAGTTGCCCAGATCTCATCCGCTTCAAAGCCGGCTGGAGAATGTCGTACAGCAAACACCCAAGCGATGGCCGGAGCCACCACAGACAGCAGCAGCAGCCCCCTGTTGTAGCCGGAAGCCGCATCAGCCATCACCGCAACCGAGTCCGACACCCAAGGCAGCTAGTTAAGCGCGGGCTGCAGGATGTTGTAGAGGACACATCGATGGCCGAACTATTGGGAGGAGACATCTGCTGCGTCGACAAGGCCGCGGCAGTGTAGCTTAAGCGGAGGAGACAGGCATTTGGGTTTGAGCGTGACCATTGGCAGCCATGAGGAAGGAAGAGACAATCTGACGAGGATTTCACTTTGGTCGGTTGGCTGAGAGTTGTGCAATAATTTAACGTTGGTTTTTATCCTTGTACGAATCCTTATAGTTCCGTTCCCTGAGCTTTAATTATTTCTCTTCAAAACCTTTACTGCTTTGGGGAAGGTCGTGGGTTCATGCAAGTAACTCACTCGTCTCACTCTCCTATCGTCTAAATACTACGAGCAACTTCTCCTCACTCTCTCTAGACGATATTTGATTTATTATTATTATTATTATTAATCTGAACCAGTTTAATTCCGGGCACCTATACCGTCCTGGATTCGTTTCAAAGGATCAAACCATGCATAAGAAAACGCCACCATGAAACTTTGTATCAAACTTGCATGGGTTAAGAGCTTCCTCCACGTTCGATCCCATCTAGGAGGTGCTCCGCTCCTTCGGGCTTGCATCCGCCAACTTGCAGATTGTCCTATAACAGAGAAAACCATGATACGAAAATAATTTAAATAAATCAGGGTGATCAACACACTATAAAGCATTCCCAAGTCATTCTTTAATAATTCAATAACAACATTCTATACGATTTAGTTTGTTTACGACAGTTAATAAAAGGTAAATCCAATCAATGTTCACTAGCTTCTAACACATTTGCATATATTTGTATGCAAATATATTAGACCTTTTGATCATCGCTCACTCAGCAACTCATCATATGATTGTAGAAATACAAACCAATAAAAGCCAACATAAATTGTCATTTCCAAAAGGATATATTAGACCACCACCACACCATTACATACATGAGGAGATTTCCCATTTTGAGGTCTAATGCTAATCCAACTTCAATCAATTGGCACATGTCACTACCATATCAGTACTGCAACCGCATACCAATTATCAAAATTTGAAGGACGCATTAACGATGATCTATAATATACCTCAGCTAGGAGTGTAAAGACTGCCCAAGAAATCTATATCATCTCATCATTCCTCAACAGCATTGAATATGCAAACAAAAAATCTATATAATGTACTCCTTATCTAAACACATACTTTCCTGTCTTTCCTAATTTTGAACTGTAAGCATAAAGGAAATTTAGTCCTCAAAATATTCAGTAAAATTTGTCCAAGTACATGATCCTTGGTTGAAATGTAACTCTTAAAAGAGCAACTTCCCGATAGAAATTTTATACCACGAGTTGGTGTCCGTTCCTGATTCCTATCAGTAATAAATCATACACGAAGATTCAGTAAGAGATATTCTAACAACAACGTAGTTCAACTCAGGAGGTGCACAAAAGAGGATAATACAGAGGATGACCCTCCTTTCTATAAAAAAAAAAGAAAAATCTACAATGTGTAGAAGCTGAGACAAACAGAGAAATAAATAAACCACAAGAAAGAATACTAGCACAAAAAATTGATTGATCAACAATCAAATGAAGTTCTACATCAAGCACAACAAAATATTTCTCAAAGACAATTGGCTGTGAACAAACATCACAACCATAATACATAAAAACACTAATCCAAATCTCGCAGTCATGTTTATTCTTTAGAGACAAATGTGGAAGCAAAGAAGACGATGACTACCCAACTCAGCACATACAGCAGAAATTGTAAACCAATTCCAAATCCTTCCTACACCAGCTCATGTTCAGCCTATTGGAATTATAAACATTGTGCCATTGTCTATAAATATATATGTATATATATGTATATGTATATATACATATATACATACATACATACATACATATATATATATATATATATATATATATATATATATATATATATATATATATCAA